ACAAGAACAATTTTTTTGTGTTCGAAATATAAACGAGTTGAACACGAAAAGTAGTATTTTTTAATGAGCCGAACACGAGCACGCTCATGTTCGGCTCATTTACACCACTATTTTCTACATTAATTGTTCGAAATATGTCCGAAATATGCATAATATGTTTGAAATATGCATGCGAGTAATGAAATTAATTCGTGAAAGTAATATTAGGATAAAAATTTAGAATAAAGGTACTCTCGCAGGTAAATTAATTAAATTAATTTATATTATGTTTCATAGAAAGACAAATATCTTACGTATTCAAGAAACAAAATATTCTAAAAAAAATGCTAAGGATATTGATAACTTACAGTTCAAACTTTGATATTCAAGTAGGAGTAGCACTAGAAATGGTGTAAGTGTAAATATAGAAAAAAGTTTCAAAGATAATGTTTTGAAAATTATAAAATTATATATATAATTATAGCTCTTAAAATTGTCGTTGATACTAAGATTTATAATATTACAAGTGCTAATGCTCATCACATAAATTTAGATATAAATTCTTTAAAAATTTCTAGATATAAATTCTTTAAAAATTTCTAGAATTAACTAGAATAATTAATACAAAAGATACCTCTTCAAAAAAAAAAATTAATGGAGGAGATTTAAATGAACATGTCAATATAGTGGTTAAAAAATTTAGAAATATTCATGATAGCTATAGTTTTGGAGTGATTAATGAAAAATGTAGAGTCATATTAAATTTTTCTTGAGCATATGATTTTGTTATTGTTAATACTTTATTCAAGAAAAGAGATAAACATATTATTACTTATAAGAATTGATCTAATAAAACAAATTGAATATTTTCTTATGAAAAGAAAAGATCATCAAGACTGTAAAGATTGTAAAATCATTCCAAGTAAGAAATTAAGTACTCAACATCGATTATTAGTTTTGTATTTTAAAATAAAGAATTATAAAATAAAGAATACTAGGAATCATTATCGTAGAATTAGACGGAGACACATAAAAGAGGCAAATAAATTTTTTATGAGTAATTTAAAAATTTCAAGATTTGAGATGTTCATGAAGAATCAAATTATATGGGATAAAGTAACAACAATATGAAACAAGTAGCAAAAGATATACTTAATAATAAAAAAAATATATTTTTATAGATAAAAATAATTGGTAGTGGAATAATAATGTGCAAGAAAAAAAATATAAGTGTTATAAAAATTGATTTAAATGTAAAAGCTTAGAGGTCTGAGAAAAATATAAAAAGACAGTCTACAAGAACAATCTGTGACCCTAAAAATTCTGCTTTAATAATCTTCACAATATTTTAGATACTAAAGAGGGTGAAAAATATAAGCATAAACTAGTAAAACAAAGAGAAAAGAAAAGTAAAAAACTTAAGTCAAATGTATTAATGATGAAAACCAAGAAATAATTTTCTTAGAAAAAGATATTCAACATAGGTCGGTGAGCTATTTTAATAAGTTTTTTAATGAAGTTTCTAAAAATATGATCTATCTTAATGATTTTAATATAGTTAATAATAATAAAAATATGTTTCATTTTTTTTACTGTCACATTAGTAAAGAAAAAGTTGATGAGGCCTTAAGAAAATCAAAAGTTAAAATTCTGTTGAACCTGAGGATGTCCCAAATAAAGTGCAGAAATACTTAGGAAATTTTAGAGTTTCTTGGCTAACTAAACTCTTTAATATTATTTTAAAAACTAGGATGAAAAATGGAGGAAGAAAATTTTGGCCCCCATTTTAAGAATAAAGGTGATGCACAAGAGTAGAGAATTTTAGAGAAATTAAGTTGGTGTGTCATACTTTAAAATTATGGGAGAGGGTAATTGAACATATGTTGAGACGTATTACAGAGATTTCTAATAATCAGTTTGGACATATGTCCGCCAGGTCTACTATGGAAGCCTTACATTTATTGAAAGGTTTGATGGGGTGCTAAGAAAATAAGGAGGATCTACATGTAATTTTATTGCTTTAAAAAAATCTTACAATATGGTTCCAAGAGATATCCTTCGGAGAATTCTAGGGAAGAAAGGAGCTTATATGACTTACATTTAAGTAATTAAAGATATGTATACTATAGTTGTTATTTGTGTTCGAACAAAAGAAGGATTGACCAAATATTTTCTTATTTCAGTTGGACTACATCACGGATCGGCTTTAAGCCCGTATCTTTTGGCTTTAGTTATGGATGCTCTTACTGGACATTTACATGAGAATGTATCTGGGTATACGGTTTTCGTTGATGATATCCTTCTTGTGGATAATACAAGAGAAATAGCAAAGGAAAAAACTTGAATTATGGAGGTCTACATTAGAGTTTAAACGTCTTCGTTTGAGTAGAACTAGAATGTAATTTTCGTAGTATTAGATTCAGTGATAAAGTTGTAATTATGGGTGATCAAATTATTAAAAGATATGAACGATTTAAATATCTCAGGTCTATTGTTCAGAGTGATAGTGATATAGATGGGGATGTTATTAGTAGAAATCAAGTTGATTGGTTGAAGTGGATGAATGCTTCGTGTGTAGAAATCAAGTTGATTGGTTGAAGTGGATGAATGATTCGTGCCTATTATGTGATAGAAAAGTATAACTTAGACTGAAAGAAAAATTTTATAAAATTATAAAATGGTGTAAAATGGTGGTGAAACCTGCAATGCTTTATGGTGCAAAATGTTGGCCTTTAAAAGAGAAGCGTAAAACTAAGATGAGTGTTGTTGAGAAAAGAATGCTTAGGTGGATGAGCAGATTTACACTTAGAGACAAAATGCAAAACGAACATGTCTGCGATAGGGTTGGTGTAGCTCCAGTGGGAGACAAAATGGGAGAGAGTTGTCTTATATGGTTTGGTCACATTAAACGTCGACCATTTGATGATCCAGTTAGGAGATAAGATATTTTAGTTTTGACTTATGTTAACAAAAACAGAGGTATACCTAGAAAGACTTGGTAGAATTAGAATTAGTAGAATTAGATGAAAATATGACAATTAATAGAATGCAATAGAGAAAAAGGATTCATGTAGCTGACCCTACTAAGTGGGATAAAGGCTTCTTCTTGTTGTTGTATTAGCAAATGTCTAACATAATTAACTTAACAATAAAATAATAAAAAATCAATAAAAAAATTAATAGGATCTGATTATTAAATAATAAAATTGTATCAAAAATTTGCTAGTATTATATTCTAAAAAATAAAGTCAAAATAATTATTTTTAATTGTGGTGTTCACACATATACCACATAATTCTTATGTCTTTACACGTCTAAGTCTAAAACTAAAATCTTTAATATTACATCAAAAGTCCTGCTATTTCTAACATTTTAAGAGTGGACAACACGTTCTCAAATGTAAATATTAAACTTTAGGTGTTAGATAAATAAATATAAAAAAAATTATGGGGTATGCATACAAATTTCTCTTTTTTTAATTAATTATTATCGCGCTAACTTAGCATTAATTGTTGGACTAAATAGAATTTAATAAATCAAGATGTTAATAGAAATATCAATTAACAAAAATGACAAGCACAATTGTTTCATTAAATAGTAATAATCATTAAATTTATATGTTAATTATATAAATCAATGATTAAATAAATTAAATATGGGGTATTAGATTTTTTCAATAACTAATGAATAAAGAAAAATTCAAATTAATCGGTATAATCAATTCTTTGATTAGTTAAAAAATTATTTAAGGATTGCATATAAGATTATTAAATTACTATTATTATTATTATTATTATTATTATATAGTAAATTAAATATATGTTCTAATTATTATATTTGCAATGAATCTGATTAACAAATAGTATGAGTAAATAGTTTGCTCTTTCGGGTAAAAAATAAGTCATCTAATGAATACCTGACAAACAAAAAATTTTTAATTAAGTTTTATATCATCAAATAATTGAAATAAAATATTAATTTTACATGAATTTTATGATAAAGATCATTTAGTCTAGTAAAAAAGAAATAGTACAACAAGATTCACTATACCTTTCCCAGCATGATTCAAGCACTTACAACTCTGAACAACAATATCAATAGTAATTTTACCAAACAATTACTCGATTTTCTCAGGAGCACAAACAATACAATTAAAAATGGCATCATAAAATAGAACAACATTACCAAACAAGTGTACGCAATTTTAAGTATTAAAACAATGCCATGACCCAAAATGTGAATGAGGTTAAATTTAATTCAAAAACAGCATTAAATTGAAATAAAATTCAATCAAAGCATTAATCAATGTTAAAATTTGAAATTAACCAAAAGAGAGAACCAAACAATATTTAAATTTAATTGGACCATGAGTTAAAAGTCAGCAACCATGAAACTACAATTATGATTCGAAAAATCAGTACAACCTGAGCTAGTTTAATCTCTCTTAAAAATAAAAAATGTTTTATAGCCATAGATTTAAGATCAAAAGCCTGCTTAAAAATTAAAAACCCAGTTCCACCCACGAATCAAATTATCACCTTTTGAAGCAACTAATGAGACCACCACCTTCTCTATTCTTGAAAAACCATGCAGTTAAAATACGCAGCAGAATCTCTCAACACATAATCCATACAAAATTAAGGCAATACAGAGATAAATATAAAAACAACTCTATGCAAAGATTGAATGAATGGTGAAATAAACATGAATATGAAATTTGGGGATCATGTAATATTCATAACTCAGGCACCTCCACAATGCCAAAAATGTTGTAAAACAAGTATCTAGATAACCTTGTTCAATCCAAAAACTTGAGTCCCTGGTACCGGCTCATAGACTCCTTTAAAAATAATCAACGAATACGAGTTAAATTATGTTCGTTGTCACTGAGTCTATCAGTTAGCAGTTCAGCCAATAATTTGGGCATCTTTAGCTTCTCTCGAAATAAGTTCCAGTAAAGTACAGTAAAACAAATGATTCTCAAGAATTTAAAAGCTGAAAAAATAAACATGAGGCATTACCTGACTCTTTCCAGCAGCGGCCGCTTCCGGCTTGAGATCCTGCACAATTGTCTTGCTCTCCAAATCCCAGATCTTAACGCTAAGCTGGGTTGCAGCACAGAGCCAGTACCTATTCGGACTAAAACAGAGGGAATAGATAATTGCCCCAGCATCAAGCGAGTACAACCTCTTACCCTCGGATAGATCCCACAGAAGCGTCACGCCATCCTTTCCCCCGCTTGCGCACAGAGATCCATCGGGGCTCACTGCCGCAGTGTTGACATATCCAGCATGGCCAGTCAAAGTGCAACGAAGCTTGCAGTTGGTCAAATTCCAGACCTTCACCGTACGATCCCACGAGCCAGAGACTATCGTCGGCTGGAAAGTATTTGGGCTAAACCTCACGCAGCTCACCCAATTGGTGTGAGCATCCCCATCCTGGATCGTGTACTTGCACTCACCAAGCGTGTTCCATAGCTTGATGGTTCTGTCTCGTGAAGCAGAGACGATCTGGCGATTGTCAACAGAGAAGGCAACCGACAGAACGTCCTTGCTGTGGCCAACAAAGCGCCGGGTGGTGATACCGGTATTAAGGTCCCAGAGGCGAAGCTCGCCGTCCCAGGAACCGGAAAGTGCGAACTGGCCGTCGGAGGAGAGGACCACATCCTGCACGAAATGGGAATGGCCAGTAAGACGGCGGCGAGGGAGACCAGCGGAGGCCGGGGCGCTGTCAGTGGCGTATGATTGCTCCTTGGTGAGGTCCCATACGATAATGGATTTGTCCCGTGAAGAGGAGACGATCATGTCGGTGTTGTCGATGGGCGCGGCGATTGCCGTCACCTCGCCTGTGTGACCGCTGAGAATCCCCTTGAAAACCAGAGCGTCCGACATGGCTTCCGGAGTGGCGTCTTCCTCTGAGCAAGATCGCTAAACCCTAGGAGTTGCGCGGCGGCGATCGATATAACTGGCAGTAAGGTTAGGGTTTGAACATAAAAGGCCGTGTATTTATATTGGAGCCTTTCATAAATGTTATATAATTCTTGTACAGCTACTTTTTGATGTTTACATACAAACATTCAAACCTTTAATTTTATATAATAATTATCATTATTATTAAGCTTTCAAAAATAAAATACATGATTTATGCATAATTTTACGACGCTAATATTTAATAAATATTATTATGTGCTGAAAAACTTATAATGATAAGCATAAAAATTATACTTTGGCATGATTTATGCATAATTTTCATCATTTATCTCAAGATAATTTTTTGAGTATGAAATATTTAAATTGAAATAAAAACTCATCTTAAACTCTGATTTTAGCCAACTTATAGTCAAAATGTCTAACTCGAAAAAAAAACCCCAATGTTATGAAAATTAGTTCAACCCGAGTCATTAAACCAATTTTAGAACTTTTTCACATTTATTAAAAAGGCTGAACGAGTGTCAAATCCAGCAAAAGCCTATATTTGAATCAAGTGTCTTGACAAAACGAATCCAACAAGCCAAAAAATGCTCAATCCTGGCATCCTTAAGGCACTCAAATATCTATCAAACAATGTTTCATGGATGAAAGCTCTTTGAACTCTCTGATCAAAGTGATTCGTATATTTTCATTAATTGCACTCATAATACTATAAACAGAGTCTCACTCATCTCATGAGAAGGAGGCTGGAGGCTTGGGAGAGAACTTAATGCTTTGAGAAGTAGTTGAAGTTCAGTATCACCCTTATCACCGTCGATCGTCGCGTCGTCAATCATTGCTGGTGCCCGTCGACCACCGTCGACCGTCGCTAATTGTTCTAGACACCCGTCGACCGCCATCAACCGTCTTCGACACCCGTCTAACGTCGTCGATCACTGTCAATCGTTGTCAATTGTCATCGAGTCGCCGACCACTGTCGATCGTCGTTGACAACCATTGAATATGTAAAGGAACTTGCGAGGCATGTGTATAATTTTTTCTCATAATTAATCCTACTAAAAATTGGAGATATATATTGATGTGTGTTAGAAAATTCATTGTGATTAAGTGATTAATTGTCATCTTATTGTTGGACAGAAATTCAACACATACTCGAATAGAAGTAAGCAACCAGTAGCAATACCAAAACTTTTTACTTGTAAAACCTCGGTGCATTGTTAGTTGAAATAATCCACTGTGTAATTTTGTGTATATGTGTCAACTCTTCTTTTGAATTAAGAAAGACTGAGTTACAAATATAATTATTGTAAATGTACAGCAGTGATTCTTTAATACTTTAATAATATTATAATCATAGTTAATGTAGTTCTCGATGAAAGTAAGTTGTAAGGGTCGTAGTTGGTTATTACGGATACAATATTGTAGATGATGTCAGCGCCAGCTTGTATTATAGGCAGTAGTTGAAATCCATGATAGTAGTTCTTCATCTAAGCTGCAGAGTGTAGGTTGGTCACTCATATTGTAATAGAAAGTTGTGGGGTTGTGAGCCATGTAGGCCACAGTGGGTCACATGAGTTGTAGTAGTGAGTTACCGTGATATTCGTAGGCCACATAGACTAGAGTCAGGAAATGTACAAACTATGAACCGCATAGGCACATTTATATACACTTGATACGCTATCAATAAAAATATCTCATTCGATGCAAATCTCGAGGCATTCCATAGATCTCGAGGCGACTTTTCGAGCAAGAATATTCAAACCTAAAAAGAAGTTATCTTGAACTATGATTTCAACAAAATTACAATCAAACTGACTGACTCGATAAGAATAACTCAATGTTATTAAAATTTGTTCAATCTGAGTCAAATCAAGTCATTATATCACTATTAAAAGATTTTCAGACACATTTGGAAGGTCAAATAGATATTGAATCTGATGATTTTATAGTTTAATTAAGCTTCTCAGCAAGGCAAATCCAACGAGTCCAATATCACTCAATTCTAACATGACTAAAGCACCCAAATGTTCATCAAACTCTGTCTAATTGGTGGAAGCTGTCTAGACCGTCAGATTAAAATAATTCATATTTCTGCATTAATTGTATCAAGAATACTATAAATAGAGTCTCGCCTGACTTAAGGGTTTGAAAGTAAACTTGAAGCGTAATGACTTCACCCCTTGTGGAGCGAAGACAAATCCAACGAGTCCAATATCACTCAATTCTGACATGGCTAAAGCACTCAAATGTTCATCAAACTCTGCCTAATTGGTGGAAGCTGTCTAGACCGTCCGATTAAAATAATTCATATTTCTGCATTAATTGTACAAGAATACTATAAATAGAGTCTCGCCTGACTTGAGGGTTTGAAAGTAAACTTGAAGCATAATGACTTCACCCCTTGTGGAGCGCCGACCACTCTAGCTAAAGTACCGCTGCTAGCTAATCGCGCCTCCTTTTCCTCAATTTCCCTCTGCTAGCTAAAGTACCGAGAAGAAGCTCGACGTTCCTTGCTGCAGCCAACGACTACTTCTGCAAGCCTTCACGCCTGCTGATCTCGGCCCCCCTGTTCCACGCAATGGGTCTAAACTATTATTGCCGCTAGGGCTTCAAGTGAAGACGTCCGAGAACGAAGGGAAATATATTGTTCTAGCAACTTTGGTTCTAAAACTTCCGATGGATGCTTGATGAACAATCTCAAAAGAGTTTCATCATTTAGAGCCTTTGTGTACAGAGGTAATATTCTTTACTGTAGTTGTCATAGTTTTTTGCAAATATTTTCTTGTTTTGACAAACATATGAAAAATTCAACTCTGTCAAACCAAATTTTCTACGAGTTTGCATGAACTTATTTATTACCATGGCAGAGAAGTTCTTGTATAAGGGTTGTAAACGAGCCGAGCCTGAGCGAGCTCAGTCTGGGCTCGTGTTCGGCTCGTTCGAAATCAGCTCTTGTTCGAAATCGGCTCGTGTTCGAAATGGCTCGTGAACAGTGTGTTCGTGTTCGGCTCAAAAATAATAATCGTGTTCGTGTTCGGCTCGAAATTAGCTCGTTATAATATTAAATTATTATAATAATATATATATACTTAAAAAAATTAATAATAAATTTTTATTAAAACTGTTTGTACTAACAACTTAATTCAAAACATATTTGAAGAATAAATTTCTAGAAAAAATTGCAAACCAAATTTAAAAAAAAAATATTAATACTTTTTTACCCAATTTTACAAAATACAAACTTCATTACAAATTTTACAATTTACAAATTAAACAAAAAGATGAAAATTTACAAAATACAAACTTTTACAAAAACTTCAATACAAATTTACAAAACTTTACACAAAGAATATTAATTCCTTTTTTAAAAAATTTTACAAAATAAAAATTTATGTACTAATTTTACAAATTTACAAAAACATTATCAAGTTTCTTCACAATTTCCTCCAATCGGCACTCGGCAGTCTCTTCAAATTGGGATTCATCTTGAGTAGGGTTGTCAATTTGGCTCCAGATTAGAACAGGTTTGCCAATTTTCTTTGAAGAGTTAAGTTCTCTGCTAAGTAAGTGAAGCACATACAACATTCTTCGGACTTTTGTAGTCTTCACCTGTGCAATTCTCACCAATTCCCTGAAACGCAATCAAGTTTCAGAAGCTTATGTACATATATGCAATTTCTTACTACTGTAATCTGCTAGCATTCCATATTACTACAAATTTTGAACTCAAATGGAATGAAATCTCATGGCTTTCTTGCCAAAGAGATGAGAGTAAATAAGATATGACCTGATATAGTTCTTCTGAAATTAATCCCATTCCAAAGGCAAATGGTACTCGAGCATTAAAATCAATCACCTCACCTGTTGATGGATTACCAACCATATAACCCTGCAGATTACCACTATTTAATTGGGCAAATTCTTATTGGAATCAAAGGGAACTAATCTCTATGTTTGCTTGAAAAAGTTACACTGCTCATCAGAGTGCAAGGATGACCTGAATATTAAGTGTTGGTTGCACTATGGACAAGCTATCAAAAACAGGTAAACAAATGTGACGTTTATCAAAGGGAACTAAAAATCACCTCACCTGTTGATGAATTACCAACCTTATAGGCTATAGCCAGACATATTACCACTAATTAATAGTGCAAATTGTTATTGGAATGAAAGGGAACTAATCTTTATATTTACTTTGCTCATCAGAGTGCAAGGATGACCTCAATATTAAGTGTTGGCTGCACTTTGAGCTCATTTTCTGCAGCTCAAAATGAAACAGAGACCTGAATATTACAACTGCCAGAATCTAAAAAGTTTCCTCGACTTCCTCTGATTAATGCATTAGAAGAGATAACAGAAACGACAAAATCATTTACAAAAATGTTGCAAATTTTATATTCAGAGACGACATAATCAGAGATAACAGAGCCTTGAATGAAATATTCCTCTTATCTTAAAATGGTTGCAAACTTGTGTTGTCATCCAAAATTAAGAGTAAGAATAATCATTTACAACATTTTTTCATATTCTTCTCATAAAATGGTTGCAAACTTGTGTTGCCTTCCAAAATTAAGAGTAAGAATAATCATCTAATGGGACACCGAAAAGAACCACTTCCATAATGCATCAAACCTAATTATAATGGGACACTGAAAAAAAGTAAAGAACATCTTCCATAATGCATTAGAACAGCCTTGCAAGACTGCATCAAATACTGTTTTCTGGAAGGCCATCTGTAATTAAGGCCATATGTAAAAACTGTTTTCTGTAAAGATTCTAAAGAACAACTTCCAAAATGCATCAAATACTGTTTTCTGGAAGTTCAACAAACATCAGGTAATTGGAACAACTTCCAGAATGCAACAAATTCATTTGGAAAGCTATAGTACAAAATTAATTTGGAAAGGCATAGTAACATCTCCAAAAAAGCATAATTCTGGAAGTTCAACAAACATGTATGACATAAAATGTTAACAATAATTTCCTTGGGTAAAGCAAACATCAGGTAATTGTTCGGGTAATAGAATTTCAGCAAATATCATTTCCTCATTCCCCGCTATTTACTCGGGTAAAGCTACTTCAAGTTGTTCCTCTTCCATTAATTCTTGCTGGTAGGAAATATATATCAATATCAGTTTTAAGATGAAAAAAAACATATACCATACAAGCTAATTATTGAGAGAGTTACCATAGGTGTTTTCGAATGAGTGGTGGACGATCTAATCCAACTAGACGAGCATATTAATGCATTCACTGTTTTTGACGAAAGTGAACTTCTATAGTCATTTAGAACTCTTCCACCAGTACTAAATGCAGATTCAGAGGCAACTGTTGTTATTGGAATCGATAATATATCCCTAGCCATTTTCGATAAGCAAGGATACTTCAGCGTGTTCAACTTCCACCAATCAAGAATATCAAAATGTTCAGTATTGGCCAAAAAAAGACCCTCTTCGAGATAGACTTGTAAATCTGATTTTGAAGGTTGAATGGAACCAGATGAAAGAACATAATCTGTAAATGCAAGCATGCAATCATAACTTTGTGAATTAACCGAATCAGTTTGCAACTCCGAAGAAACATTGCCAATTGCAGAACTAGAACTAGCAATATCGCTTGCATACGTGTTGTAAATTTGCAACATTACATCCTCAACTTGCTTAATTTTAGAGTCTAATTCAAGAGGTGTATACATCTTGCTAAAAGTAAAATGTATGAACTTCATTTTCCAACGAGGATCCAAGACAGCTGCAACAGACATTAGGAGATTGCAATCACCCCAATATTTGTCAAATTTAACTCTCATAGCAAAAGCCATGTTCCTCATATAATCATCAGCGGATGTCGACTCATCCAACAACAATTTATTTATTTGGAAAACAGCAGGTAAAAAAATATTTGAGGTCGGGTAGGAAGAACCTGAAATCATTATTTGTCACGTCAATTAAAACAATAAAATTCATTATATGCATAAAATCGTACAAAAAGCACAATTAAGGCTCTGTATAAAGAACCTGAAATCGTTTTTGTCACATTATTAAAAACAACGAGGAATTTTCTGATTTTGTCATATTTCTCCCAATCTAAATCCGAAGGCAACCAACTGAAATTGTTATCTCGATTTGCATAACAAGCAAACACCTGCCGAAAAACAAAAGCAGATTCTAGCATTAGGAATGTAGAGTTCCATCTTGTTGGGACATCGATGCATAAACCTTTTGATGTTGATATCCCTAATTGTCTAGATATTTCAACAAACTTATGTAAC